CCAGCTTAGCAACTATCAATGGAGCTTGGTGTCTCTGCGACAACTGTCTGGCAAATATTAAAAAACGATTTAGGACTACATTTTTTTCAAAGAAAAAGTAATAAAATCATCACTGTCGGATAACCAGAAGATCAAACGGAATAGTTGGGACACTATGTTCGCAAAAACTTCTGGAAAAGAAGGAGTTCTCAAAATTCTCTTTTGGGATGAGAAGTTCTTTTATATCGATTATGTCTATAATTCTGAGAACAATGAAGTGTAAGTAGTCAATCGTGCTGATCCTAATGAAAAAGCTGGTACTAAGCAAGACCGATAGTTTCCACAAAAAGTTATGGTTTGGTTGAATTTTGTTCTGAAGGTTATCTCATGTCGGGTAACCTTGGATGGCTGAACGACTGATCGCACCTGTCATATTGAAAAACTGCTTCCTGTTGATTGAAAAATGAGACTTAAAGTTTCAGTAGCGATTACGTCTTTCAATAGAACGGCGTAAAGCCTCACTCGCATCATCGCACACAGACATGGTGTCGAAACAATTTTTCATCATTTATTGACAAAATCATTCGCCTCCAGATAGTCTCGATTTAGACATTTAGTCTACTTAAGAAAGTTTATGAGTCCATTGAGAAAGTGAGTTTTATGAAAAACTTTGATATAGACAACTTTTTTCATCAATCAATTCTTCATGGAAAAGTAGGATTATGAAAAAAATTTAAGGCTTCTACGACGTTTTTTGACAGAGTTATAGGCACTAAAACATGAAGGGGATCCGAGAAACGTGAAAAGTAATCATTTTCTTTCTTTTGTCTTATTTCGTCGTTATCTCGATCATTTGTTGTCCGTTCAGGTCAAGAGACATCTCATTTGAAAGAGTGCGTAACACTTCATAAAAAGACACCTTTTATTGTTTTTTTTAAATAAGTCTTTTTATTAAAAAAATTTTCTTTCTAAAAACTTCACATTGTTTTAATCAAGCTTTTTCCAATGTAATCCTTTTTGTAATATGATAAAAGACCCAAGAGAAACTTTAATTTAGTTCAGCCTGTAGAGCATTGTCTCCTCTACAAAATTATGATAGAGAGTTTGAAAAAGAAATTTCAGAAAAGGCCGAAAAAAATTGGAAGACACCATTGGGTGACATAAATTTGTGCTTTTCTTGCGTTTTTTAAGCCAATTTCTGTTAGAAAAATGGCGATTTGATGAAAACTAATACCATATTCGGAATCAACATCAAAACCTGAGTCAATCTTTATGTATCTCAGATATTTACGAGAAATTTGTTTTTCATCGAAAAATTCACCCCTACTCCCCCTCAAGGTTAGACCAAAAACACCAATTTCACCAAAATGTTATTTTAGCAGAGGCAACCAAGTTTTAGGGTTATAAAATGAAACTTTAACACGAAATTGCAGATGTCTAAACCATGAAAACAGAATTTTAAAGAAATTCATTTTTAGACACAGTCCTGAATTCTTCCTCAGGGTTGAGCGAAAAAATGAATTTCACGAAAACTTTATTCGGGGGCTAAGAAACAGGCTCTAACCCGTACAAAATGATAATAGAGCGCAAATTGGAAAATCTTTGAGGCATGAAAATAGACTTATGGTGAAATTAATGTTTTGGTCTAACCCTGCGGAGGAGTTGGGGTGAATTTTTCGATGAAAAAAAAATTTCTCGTAAATATCTGAGATACATAAAGATCGACTCAGGTTTTGATGTTGATTCCGAATATGATATTAGTTTTCATCAAATCGCCATTTTTCTAACAGAAACTGGCTTAAAAAAAAGCAATAAAAGACCCAAAACTTTATGTCACCGAATGGTGTTTTCCAGTTTTTTTCGGCCTTTTCTGAAATTTCTTTTTTCAAACTCTCTATCATAATTTTGTAGAGGAGGCAATGCTCAACAAGCTGAACTAAATTAAAGTTTCTCGTGGGTCTTTTATCATACTAAAAAGAGGGTTACATCGAACAAAGCTCGATTAAAACGATGTGAAGTTTTTAGAAAGAAAATGTTTTTAATAAAAAGACTTATTTATAACAAAAACAATAAAAGGTGTCTTTTTATGCAGTGTTACGTGTTCTTTCAAATGAGATGTCTCTCGACATGAACGGACAACAAATGACCAAGATAACGACGAAACAAGACAAAAGAAAGAAAATGATTATTTTTCACGTTTCTCAGATCCTCTTCATGTTCCAGTGCATATAACTCTGTCAAAAAACGTCGTAGAAACCTTAAAATATTTTCGTAATCCTACTTTTTCATGAAGAATCGATTGATGAAAAAAATTGTATATATCAAAGTGTTTCATAAAGCGACTTCATTGAGGAATGCTCAACTGATTGGTGAGCTCCGTCTTAATCTAAGTTGAACTTGTCAGAGCAATTGATTGCGACAAACTCAAGTGAGAAACAAAATTGATTAAACAATGAAAATTCTTGTGTGAAATGGAAAACATTCGGAAACTTTTGTTCTTTGAAAGTTGCGCTTATTCGAAGAATCGATTGTATTGCATTTCTCAAAATGATGGAAACTATTAGCAATAATATAAAGACGACTGTTTTGTAGAGTTTGACATGGAGAATTTTTAGAGAAAAGAAATAGCTGAGTTGAGTGAAAATTGAAAAAATTACTGCGAGAATACTGAGCGGCCCATTTTGATCTGGTGCACAGCTTAGATTTACTTGAGCGACAAGCTACTGATGCAAGAGACATTGATGATTGCTTTTCTTTTACAATTCTCTTGCTTTATTTTGCGCTGGTAAGATGCTTTTTGTTCATGTTAGTCCAGAGAGATGTGCTATCGAATGTCTACACTTCAGTCTTGATTGCTCTTCCCATTTCTCCTGACATTCCACGTATGTGATAGTGAGTCAAATCAAAATATTGATTTCTTGCCTTATTCTGTAATTTTCTCTATCTATTCAGATAAGTTACTCTAGCTAGCTCTCAATTTTACAAGGTCTGATCATATTCACTTGGTCTAGATCGACGAAATATCAGCAGTACTGAATCGTTTCTGATACAGAAAATGTTTCATCGAGCATATTTAATGATAAATATTCGCACATCGTAGCTCATGATAAATTCTAGAAAGTAATTTCTACTAGGATGTTGGTGTGGCTGTCATTCTCTTCTTCACGCACACCCACACCCTCAATAAACAAGATCTTCGAGAAAAAAAATCACATCGGTAGTCTCGGGTGTTTGTCAGTTGTGAGCAATTGACATGTCTGCAATATCTTCATGTTCATCCTAGGTATATTTGTTGATCATGTAGGCGCACGCCTTGTGCTTTTTGGTTCATGAAGATGTGAAGAAGCATCGAGGAAAGTCAAGTACCTCTTCGCGTTGATGATTCTTACTGCAATTCTATGATAATATCTGTCTGTTCTTACCTTCGTTTTTACGCATCCAAAGCATCTCCACTGTTCCACGGTATGCATTGGAGGAGCCGACAGTTCTCTCATCAAGAGATACAGATCGCCGCTCGACAAACGATTGCTGCTAAGATCAACTTCGTTCAACGTAGTACTTCTATTTATCCCTTTGCCAAGCTCTTCTAGACTTTCGCCTGTTATCTTAGCATTGCGTATTTGAATTGTCGGACATCGTTTTTCAATGATGATCTGTTCAACCACATCCTTCATGTCTTCTTTACTCACTCGCTGACCTTCAATAATTGCTTGTGAACGAGGTTGAATTCGATCAATTTGACGACGAATTTCTGGATTACGGTCACTTTGAGCGGATATATGTAACGAGGGTATATTTTGTGGTTGTTCAGTTTTAGAAAAATGTACGGGAGATTTAATCGGTGTCTTAAACTCTAGCTGTTGGAGTAATGTTGCAGAATGATTTGGAATCGGTCCCTTTTCAATAAGAGGATACAGTGGTTCAGTTTCTTTCAACTGAATAATGGTCAGTCCATCACCTTTGTCGACCTTTGCCACGAGTTCAAATTGTGTGGCAGCAATAAGTAGAACTTCGTTTTCTTTAATATAGTCCGAATATTTGCGTACATCTTTACCAGAATAACAATTGATCTCGAAAATAGTTCTTTCACCTGTTTTACCACAGAAATGTTTGACTACTTCCATCGAATCTGTACAGGATGAAAACGCCCACCAAATAATAGGTACTCCTTGTTGATATTTTGCGGAGAGGTTCAAGTTCACTCCTCGAAAGAGATTCTGACGAGATGATGGAATCTTCATCAAGCCGGTGAGAATTAGCTTCAAATAAAGAAACCAATCTTTTAAAATAGATCGATCTTCAGATCGAAGTTTATCGTTCATAATGAAGTAGAGACTTTGTTCTTTTGTAGTCCATTCCATTGTATATAGCCGTATTGAGGCACATTCATCTATAGAGAGACCATAGTCTGATGGCTCTTGACTTTTCTTTTTGGCATCTAATGCGTAACGCTCTACATCAAGAATGTGCTTGATGAGTGGTTTAACGGCTTCTTCCAGAGAGACCAAAGGCATCTTCTGAAAGCCTTCAATAGGTGGTAGCATTCGTAATGGCTCATCAACCATGTCACTAAAGCGCAGTCGATGTCTAGATAAGTCGTCCCCATGATTGGATGCCATGAAAATGAACACCTCTAGACAATGATAAATTGAAGTAAATTTTTACGAATATCATGTACTTATTAATTATTCTCTGAATAGTGATTTCAATCATCAGTGGTAGCATTACAAAATTGATGCCGAACTGTAAGGTTACATTGGAAATTGAAACTGGAATTTCCAGAATGCTTGATGATAGTTCACTGAGCAAGAGAAATAAAATGGATCGGTTATATTGTGCCAGATTATGGAATTCTCTGATTATGACATGACATAAAATTTACATCAATGTGAACACCCATTACTCTATCCTAATATCGTTTAATAAGTATTCACGATGTTGTGTATTTATAGATCTAGCTTATTGATAAATATATGATCATTTTGTAAAACTATAAGCTATTGAATAGTTGCGAATTCAGTACTGATTTATCAACCCCAGCAATTTCTAGCAGCCAACATACTTCAATCGGCTCCATAAAATTGCTCAAAGAACCATGTGCCTATGTGAGCATGAAAGTCAATTACATTATTACTTGTTCGATATTTTAGTTCGAACTATAGTTATTGAAGAACTGAAGGAAAACAACAGAATCGGTGAAGAACGGCAAAAGAAAGCAACACAGATGAAAAAGGAAAAGAAAGGGCGACGAAAAACAATAGTGTCAACTGTCTTTAGCATCTTTATTCTTTCAGGAGATCTAGGCAAACCAACTCAAAATGGTGGTCAATTTCATTCAATTCATTCAAAGAAAAATGCAACTCAATTCCTAGATGTCATAAGTTATTTCTCAATTCATGCATTTTGAGAAAGATATCCAATTCAATTCAATTCAATTGACGAACATTAACAATTTGTTTAACCTCAGTTCATCTATCCTAAACGTCTTCGACTCAATTCAGTTCATTTTATCTCGCAATAATTTTTTCGATTCAATTCGATTCAATCCAATTATTGAATTGAGTTGAAATAAACTCTATTCGTATCACAAAATTCTAGCTAGTAAAGTTTGTTCTTCTTGTCTCCCGTTTAACGAACAGTGAAAAATTTTATTGTTCTTGATTTGATTGCAAATGGAATATACAGGGTGTCCCAGAAGTGTTGTTGAAATTTTGAAATTCAACGTTCTTGCGTTCAACAAAAGTAGACTCCTTGAAACTTTGGTAGATTATTGTACATATCAAATGCCACATAACTACAAAGTTTGAGATCTTGAGAATGGGTGTAGGTGTGGGTATGGATGGGTGTGAGTGTGGGTGCGCTGGTGTGTCGATACTTGAGAACATTGTTCGACCGACACCTACACCCGCACACCCAAATCCACACCCAACACTCACGCCTACGCCCTCACGCGCACTTGAAGTATTACAACGAGCGATACCTATGGTTCTCATATCCTCCATTCTGGTCGTACTTCGCTGTTAAAAGCTGTTGAGCATTTTCGATGAGGTTTATTCATCCAGATTCGGATGGAGCTTGGAATTTTACGCCTAAAAACGCTTTTTTAGACCTAATAGAGACTAGTACATGTGAAAGGAGGGTGAAAAACCCAGTTTGAACCTCAAGATCCACATATATGAAAGAATGGGGTGATTTTTCAGCACTACATTTTTGAACTTTGAGTTAGCAATATTCGTGATCAGCATCGCCGACTTGTTAGTCTTAGTCACTTTTAAGAAAAAAATTTCGAAAAAAATTTTTTCGAAACCCTGTATGGGAGCACAGGGGTTAAACAGCCGGAAGTGATTTCAAGGAAAATCACTATGCTAGATTTGTAGCCCATATAGATCTTGTAACACTCATATAGTTACTTCTTGAAAATATCGTGGGCTGAAAAGTGGTCTTAAAGCCACTTGTCCTTTACATAAAAAATGATAGGGTATAACTGGTACGGATAGAAGCACACTAGCAATGAGAGAAACGAGCAGAAAGGAAATAACCCTTGTGTCTATGGATGCAATGACGAGTGGGGTGTGGGTGTGGGTGTGGGTGTGGGTGTGGGTGTGGGGTGTGAGGTGTGGGTGTGGGTGTGGGTGTGGGTGTGGGTGTGAGCGTGGGTGTGGGTGTGGGTGTGGGTGTGAGTGGGTGTGGGTGTGGGTGTGAGTGGGTGTGGGTGTGGATGTGGGTGGGTGTGGGTGTGAATGGGTGTGGGTGTGGGTTGGTGTGGTGGGAGTGGGGGGTGGATGTGTGAGGGTTGTGTGG